CGTGCCATCTCTGCGGTGCAGAGGAGCTGGACCAGCTGTCGAGCCTCAGCACCAGCTGCGCGCATGCAGCCTGCTCGGTCTGCTATACCGTCACCCACAAGGACAACTTCATGGAGGCGGGCTGCCCCGTCCGCTGTGGGGGCAGGGGGACAATTACTCGTTCGCTGCGGACTGGTCAGACGGCCTTTGAGCAATTTGTAGCTGCCTCTCTGTTGGGTTAGGAGCAAACAATTGTCACACATACATACAGAAACCCATGCGGGACCCGCAGGCAAATTCTATTTGTACATACGTTCTGATTGACAACCGCAAGCGTGCCCCCTCTGACTCCTCTCCATTCGACTTCAATGTCTCGCTTGCAAATGCTTCGACTCCATTCCAACAGGTATCGGCAGTCAGGCTTGTGCAGATGCAAGTGGCCAAGATGTTATCCGAAGATTACATTATCATCAGCATTGACCCGCTGGATCGCATCGTGCAATGCTTCGGAGATGGCGAATCAAATGCATTTGCTGTATGCATGTACAGCAACACGGACTATCTCCAGCTCAATGCACTCAGTGGGGATTGCATCACTGGAGAAACAGTGTTTGACCCACTGCTAGCACGTCTCAACAATCTGCGCATCCGATTCAAACGATATGATGGTGACATGGTCACGCAGAGCGATTTCCAAGCTGAAGATGGGTCTATCAATTCAAGCTATGACAAGATCATGATGGTACTGGCAATCACACACAAGAATGCGTATGCGCAATGAATTTCTGTGATCATGTCATGGACACGCAGTGGTTGGTACTAATCGGCCTGCTTTCGTTCTGCATGCTTCTCCTCTGTACGGCACACAGGCGAGAAGCTTTCCAAGATGCAGATGACATGGACGACGATTACGATGATGCAGATGATGGAGAGGACGATGGCGAAGACGATCAAGAGCCCGGTGATGAAGTGCGGCCATTGACAACAGAGCCAGACACACGCAAGCCACCAAAAGAACGGAGCTCTCTGCCTGCCGCTCCGGTTGTCCCAGAAGGGGAAGCCAGAAAAGCGAAACCGATTGTAAAGCAGGTGGCAAAAGCAGCCATCAAGACGAGCGTTGCAGAGGTGAAAAAAGCTTTCAAGGTCGAAAAGGCAGACCCTAAGAAGCGAGCAACCGCAAACTTCCTGGACAAGGATGCAACGCTATTCACACCGCGCAGGATGCTGTGCCTGCCAAGCATGTCCGGATTTTATTGTCTATACTAGTAGGTTGAACCAAATAATAACAACCGTTCTCCTTCCCTAGTCTTCTGGGCAAGGATCCGCAACTTGCTGCACAAATTCCCAGCGAAAACCGGTCACCGTGCTGCCCGACCTCGCGGCATAGTACACCCGATCCCACCACAAATCGTTTGCCTCTGCAGCCTCTACGACTGTGCCATACGTTTGCAGAAGGTTGCTCTGGAGATCGTACTGATGGACGGCCCTGTTATTCTTCATGTTCCGCCCTTGCTCACTCTTGGTTGCCCAGCGCAGGTTCCCGATCATGTTGTGATCACAATTGCCATCGATGTGGTCGACCGTGTGCTCGTCACTTGGCTGCGGGCCTAAATAGGTGTTGGCCATGAGGATATAGATGTGGACGTTCTTTTTCCGCCCGTCCACCAGAAGGCTAACCTTACGCCGCCCGTTTAGAATCCATCCCTCTGTACGCCTCCCGTCTTGAAATTGAACGCGGCCCAGGCTGCTGACCCTCACACCTCTGATCAGCCTCCCACACAGCCTCGCATCCTTCCAGTCCTCGCCGGGCCTGTCGTCTTGCTCCGCAACATGCTTTGGACACCTGCGGAACACATGCCCACCGTACGCCTTGGTCGACCCCTGTCGGATACGGTTCTGAATCGTTGACGCTTCGAGCCCCAAAGATGATGCGGCAGCCTTAATTGAGGCGTACAGGTCCTCATTACCGCTCGTCACGTTATGCACGATCACCGGGCAGCCTAAGGTGACACCAGTCTTTTTGCCTGACTCCGGATTGTCCGCATGTGTCTTGCGCCGGTGCTCGAATCCTGCCAGCTCCTGCAAATTCGCCCAGCTGTCGTCTGGAGGCTGCCGTTCTTCACCGTCCTTTGGTGTGGGCGAAGGGATGATATGGTCGATTTCCATACCCGGCAGAATCGCGCGCCCATTTGCAATCTCAAAGTTGAGGCGATGTCTTTTGATGATCTTCCCGTCAATCGTTAGATTGAGGTAATCGTTCATCATCGAACCCTTCAAGAAGCGCCCTCGTTTGCAACTCCAGACTCGGCCATCCGGGAGCCCGTAAATATGTTTGTACTTGTAATGCTGCTTCCAACCCTCGTAGCTTGACGGGGGCGCATTCTGGTCCGAGTGAGAGCTCAAATGGCGTGTGAGATACCCTTTTCCACTGAATGTCTTGCCACAGCCGTCGAAATCGCAGGCGAACTGACCGCTGTTCTGGCCACGCTTGCGCTTGACTCCAACCACAGCAGCGCTTGCCATCTCTCAAAAAGTTGCCTTTTGTAGGATACGCATGTCCCTAAGTGTTGCGAACGCTTTGCCCAGGCATGTTTTCTTGAGCCGCAGACGGCCAGAGAATATCGAGGAAAAGGAAGACGGTGAGGGATAGGAAAGTGGCATCACCGTGTATACATCAATAAAGTCGACGTGTTACTAGACACGTCACGTTCATTTGGTCACCGAATGGCTTCGTAACCACAACCTCGCGCACGTAGAGGTTGCTGCTGATTCGCTCTGCCGCCTCCACGTTGCAGGGGCGTAGATGAGTATACGTACATCTCTACCAATAATCATGCTTCTATGCTCCTCACACTCTCAGCGAACCGCTGCATTGCCAGGTTGTAGAGAACTCCCCCAGGCCGTGATCCCCACTCCATGACTGCAGCTCCAATGACGCGCCGCGCCCACTTACGTCGCTTCGCGTTAGACTTCAGGCCCTCGAGACCCGCCCTCTTCAGCGAAGTCTCGAGATCCTCCTCCACCCAGCTGGGAAAGCTGCCGGGAAACAGGATGCCCGCAGCCACCTGCTCGGGCGTCGTCTCCCGCATCACGCCACCCTTTCGGGAGAGCGCGTCGAGGATTGGCAGCTCGTGCGCGTGCTTTGCGAACATCATATGCACTG